CACATACACACACACATACACACACACACACACACACACACACACATACACGTACACACACACATTACTGTATTGTCTTTCCTCAGAAACATTCAACATTGGCGCCAACAACCTTCCCCCGACCTCTGACTCTCAGGGCTGGATCCTGGCAAACGTACAACAGAACGGTTACTACCGAGTCAACTACCCACTTGGCAACTGGAAGGCTCTTACTGACCAGCTCAAAGACAACCATACTGTAAGTTGGGTGTTCTTTGTAGATGTAACTTGTTCAAGGGCTAACTATAGGCCATACTGTTAGTTGTTTTTCTATGGTTTAATTAGTGACTTTTGCTCACTTTTGGTGCAGGTAAATATTTTTGGTAACCTCCAAAATCTGGGTTAGCCCGTTTGTCATTAAAAGCGACCAATTAATTGTCCCAGAGCTAAATTACCACTATTGGGTTTTTGAGATATTATTATTATTTTATTCAAACGAAGACTGACAATCTATTTATAGATTTGTGTATGGTTGTGGGGGACTTGATGGAGTGTGCTCCTTCTTTCCTACCACACATCTTTCTCTCTGATCTCTCCTATTTATTTTCTTTGTTTGTTACTCTCTATTAAAGCTTTCGATTTTGTTTCTTTTTTTTTTCTTGTCTTTTCTTGTCTTTTCTTGTCTGTTTTTTTCCCGCGGGCGGGCACTTATATCACATAATATTTGTGTTTAAAGTGCCGTGAGTAAAACTCTTTCTAAAACTAAAACTAAACAGCATGTATATGACCTATTTGTGATATTATGCAGTAAAACGTATCTAAATAAAACTGTGGCTTTTACTTTCATGCGTCTGCTGCAGATTATATCTACAATCAACAGAGCACAACTCATCAATGACGCTTGGAACCTCGCCAAGTGAGTTCTAACAAACATGCTACAATCTCTTTTTCGTTTTCATCTGCCTATTTAAAAATATTCTATAGCTTGTTTACTTCCATTTTTTTACTAAAAAAAGAATTCTACAGTTGGTTCACTTTCATCAGCCCAATTTAAAAGATTCTACAGCTTGTTCAGTCTCATATGCCCATATTTAAAACGATTCTATACCTTGTTCCCTTCCATCTGTTCACTTAAAAACATTTCCATCGTATGTTTACTCTCATATGTCTACTTTAAAAGATTCTATAGCTTATTTATTTTCATGTGCCCACTTAAAACTATTTCTATAATTTCTTTACTCTGTCCATTTAAAAAAGAGTTCTAGCACATTTATTGATTTTCCGATTCTCACGTACCTTTGCATGGCGCTCTTGTAGGCCAAATACCAAGCACATTTCCCCCCAAAAAAATTCTTGATACAGTAACAAATAAGTTTCTTATTTATTGTTTATAGGCTTTCTATACTGTAAGTTGTTTATAGTTAACTATACTCTTTTTCTGCCAAAAGCCATGTTAACCCTTGTTACTTCTATTTCTGCTGTCGTTGGCTTAGTGCAAACTATAATAATGATATCAACAGTTATAATAATAATAATAATAATAAGGATAATAATAATAAAAATAATAGATAGATAGATAGATAACACTTGTATAGCGCAATTCCCCGCTCTATGCGTTTTACAATCGGTACTATTATCTCAGCAGACCTGATGGCATTCTGAAACAATTTCAACTTTGTGGGAGGTACACATTGCATGCCGCCTTTTTACAGGCACTAAAACACTAGCATACTTGCTCAAACAAACACCATTATTTATTGCGTGAATTATCTGCGTTTGCCGGAGTCTTGCACCCAGCCAACGAAAAGCATTGGTCATCGTCAGACATTGACGAAACAATTACTTTCACACACATGCTAAAGAACCATCCTTTTCCCAGGTCCGGTGAGCTCGGCCTGGAGACGGCTCTGTCCACCATTGAGTACCTGGACACAGAGAGGGATTACGTCCCCTGGGCCGCCGCTATCAAGGAGACCGCCTACGTCACTAGGATGCTGTCTCTCACCTCGCTCAACGGGCCTTTCCGGGTACGGTTTTCCAGTCTTCTCTAATAAAATATTAGGTATATTATATTATATTATATACTTTTATATTATATACTATTACATACTATTGTATACTAACAAAGATAGTACACAACAAGATGGTCCACTCAGAGAAAAAAGTGTCCGCCGGAAGTCTACTCTTTGCTTCAGATGGCGTTGCAGTCTGTTTTGAAGCTCTCTTTCGTTTCTCCAGAAGAAGAATAGGAATATCACCTCCTTGCAGTTCATCAGCAGTTCGGGTTCGTTCAGTGCGGAGTTTTAGGGTTTAAAATTTTTTTAATAACCTCTCGCCTTTCATTCTAAAGTCAAATTAAACGAAGAAAACAGTCGCCCTTTCCTCAGGAAGGTTTTTTTTTTTGTCAGCGTAACCATTAAAAAAAGCGTTCTTCCGAAATTTGAGTTCTTATTTATTCAAAAACTTGTTAGTTTCACTTTGATTTTTTAAAACAGAAGTAGGGTAAGTCTTTTCGTAAAGGGTGCGCTTTTGCGAAGAGGGTGCCCCCGAATTTTGAGGACATTTTTCTAATTGGCTCAAAGAGAGGAGTGAACCCTCTTGTTATGTAGACTCTTTGATACTACTAGCTGGATACCCCGTTCTATGAACGGACTCAAAATCGTCAGGTTATTGTGGATTCAGCGCGCACTGCTTGTGAACGGAAGTCTCAATTTTTATATCATGGGAAACAAAATATGTCTTGAACACTGCATTGAAATGACGAACGGGAAAATCGTAAACGACGGTAGTGGTTTTCTATTTTTCTATTTTTTTAGGCGAATGCAAACACTTATGAATTGATAGAAACGTAGCTTTGTCTTTAAGATGGTTCTGCGTTCGGTAGTTTTTTTAGCTGTATAAAACAATCATCCACATGTACGCAATTATATAGAGAGAGATTATATTATATTATATT